AAAGAATGTATAACCTAATCGGAATGAGGTTTTGTGGTAAACTGTAACGAGTTGTGTTCACTGTGAAGAAAGAGGTATCTTAAAGTACGATTATTATATTGCGGTTATTTCCAAGAAATGTAGGTTCGTGTAACTGAATGCATAAATACATGAATAAAATACCGTATAAAATTCATTTTATTTCATGGGCTGCTAGCGTTAGAGGAAATGGAAAACTGCACATGTTTCTTGATATATTTTCTAATATTTTTTTATTTATTTATTCATGATTTCTTTCAACAGGGTAGTTTCATTCAGTTCCACTGGAAGCCATTGGATCTGCTTTTCAAGAAAGCTCTGCATAATACAATGACAGTATAAAAACATAAGTATAATAATACAACAATTAAAAGTTGTATATACAATGTCAATAATACATAGTATTTTGACCCAATGTCTGTTCGTTTAACCTCGATGTTAATATTGGCAGCAAGCCCGAGTCTTAAATCCTGATAATTGACGATTTCGAACTCCGAATCACATTTGATAAGAGGTTACAATCTAGCATTAAATTGAATTGTTCATTTATGAAGAAGGTAACTTTTGAAACGCATCATGGATATTAAAATGGGAATGTGATAAAGCAACCCATATCTGTAACCCTTCCATTGATTTACAATAGCAAAAATGGACACTATAATACAGTGTATTCGACGGTTGAGTAAAAGGAGGGGGTCGGACTCATTCACAATTTGACACCAATGCAGGTGTCTCATGCGCATCTTCTTTCAAACTATGTGCATATTATACAGTAGGCTTGCGGGTGCACCGAAACGTCGAAACTCATCCTCTCCAAGCGCTATAGTTCTCCTTAGAACTATAAGCTAAGAAAGATAACGATCCTTTTCAGGACTACACACCCCCAAGAAAGATTACCAAGTCAGAGTCCTTTTGAGGACTCCTAAACCCTCTCTCTTTCTCTCACATGGTGCACCCGCAAGCCTACTGTATATCTACATCACAATGCAAGCTGACACTTACAAGCAGTTTGTGCATATTGTAAGTTTATCACCTAAAATACTTATAGCAAGCAGGGGCATATTGCTAGGATATATCCTATTATCAGTTGAAGTCACATGGTTGTGTCATACATGTTCTTACCTGGTTCATTATGTATAGAAATGCATCTCTGCCTCTCTCCTTTCCTCTCTAACAGGTCTATTCTCCCTCTCTCTCTCTCTCTCTCTCTCTCTCTCTCGCTCTCTTTCTCTCTTTCTGTCTCTCTCTTCTTACCTACTTTCTTTGATTTCGTAATATTTATGTCCTTGCCTTCGCCCCCTCACCAGGTTATTAAGTTATCTACCTGTTATATTTAACATTCTTTTGGTAACCTTTCAACATCACAATTCTGTCTTCTGGCTACTACCTTTTTGAGAAGAAAAATCATATGCATGTTTCTCTAACTTACCATAGATGTACCTCTTCCCTCGATCGAAACGCCTTCTCATTGCATATCTCGATCCTTTCTATTTACCTCTCATGCTCTCTCTCTCTCTCTCTTTCTTTGTATGTCTGTCTGTCTCTATCTCATGTGTATATGCACTATTTGTACGCATAAACATCTTTTTCTTACTCTCTCTCTCTCTCTCTCTCTCTCTCTCTTTGATCCATCGTTCCTTCTCTCTCTCTCTGTATAAATTATGCGCTATTTATACGTATACACATATATTTCTCTTACTTGCTTTCTCTTCATATCCATCCATCTCTCTCTCTCTCTCTCTCTGCCTTTCACCCCCTCTCTGCTGCATACTCCCATCCGTGCAGGTGCTGTGTCTCTGGCCATGGATGGCATGGAAGCAGGATGCGAGCCAGCACACGACGGATCGATAAGACATCAAAGTTACAGGCAGGCCAATTCCCTGAGGTGTGTTTGGAGTGAAACCCAGACCTTATTAGCATGCTAGCTAGAAGGAATGAGCCAACGGTTCTCTCTATCCTGGACCCACCCGCTAGTGTGACCCAATTAACAGTCAACATTGATCTTAGGTCCCGTGGCCGCCTCTATTCCCAGCTACATTTACCTTACTAAAGATCAGCACAGCCATATAATCCACCATATTAATTATTTTCAAGGGTCGCTTTTTATATTAAGAATCATTCTAGTGTCAACGGCAAAGTCATACTTGCTGAGGCGTAGCTCCCGTAGTCCCTTCTAAAATTGAAACACCTACAAGTAAAATTGCAGGTATTATTTCAAATAGAAGCGGAGTGCGGCAATTTTGATTTGTATCCAAACGTTGCTTCTTCGGTATCCTTTTGATGTGAAGTAGATTCGAAGCGCCCTCAGCGAATAAAAGCTGTTTTCTTAGGAGGTATTTCACCTTTTAGTGTTTTTAAAAGGAAGACTCTATTCTCAACATTGGTATAATAATACATTATTTATTACTATCATGTTTTGTTTTAGTTTGTATTCATCTAATAAACTAAAATTAAATATGTAAATATATCAATATGAATATCAATGTAGATACTACCAATATCGAAGGTCATGTGATTATATTAGGAAATAAATGAATAGAAAGTTTCCTTGAAATGATTACGGATAGTAAACCATTATTACCATTGAGTTTATCTATATTATTTGTGATAATACATAACATATAATCTGGCTACCAGTGCTTTATGAGCATGTCTATATTGATATCTATTTTATCTATCAGTAGTTTTGTTTCTATCTATCTCTCTCTATACATCGTAAACTAAGTAAGGATTTTGATATATATATATATATATATATATACATGTAGTAGTCTCAAGGCAGACTTCTTTGTGTCTCATATAAGTTTTCCACAAAATATTTTCTTGGCTTCTGTAGTCGATGTATCAAATACGTTCCAGAGTTTATACTTAGTAACTTTTTTGCGGATTTCCTCAAAATTCCATGCAGGTGTTATATATTTCATCGAGATCCTGAGCCGATGCTGAAATATCGGTCTTCTGGATTTTTGTTCCTCGAGAAAAACAATTAAAACGTTGTATGAATCAAGGATATACATGTAAAAGGTAATACACAATGAGGATACCTACATTATCACGCATGGCCTCTTCAATTACATTACTTACCAATGTTCTCAATTAATCTGCCTCCTGCCCCACACGCGCGCAGCTGAGACACTACAAAACAACGGATCAGCGAAGCGATAAGGCATAAATAGTCATTTATTTCTATAATACCGAATCAAATGTCAGATCAACAACAACAACAACAACAACAACAACAACAAGAACAACAACAAGAACAACAACAAAAAGCGTGGATGCGCCCTCTCCTCTCGTGTATTATTATTATTATATAGATCACATGGAGGATGCTTTCTTATAACCATGAGTTATTGTTTTTTAAATTTCAGCCGGCCATTAAAGAAATTCACGGGTGAGGGGGGGGGGGGGGGGCAGAGCCCTCATATCTCACATAACGCCGCTAGAATTACGCGAATGAATATCTTAAACTCTCTAGAAGATGTAGAAGGTAAACAACGTCTCTTTATTTCCCCCCTTTTCTCAAACCCTGAATGGCCTGTCTCAAAATGTACAATCCCTATTAAAAGGTTGTGCGTGTGCGTGCGTGCGTGTGGTGTGTGTGTGTGCGTGTGTGTGTGCGTGCGTGTGTGTATGTGTGTGCATGGTTACATCTACTTAACATGAGAACCAGGTATTTCATTTTTCAACATTCGATATAGCTGCATTATCATAATGGGAGAAAATGCAGGCCGTAATCTTGAACTGGATTATTGTTTTCATCGTGGATATCACTCACAGTATCAATCATTTTTCAGTGACAAGGGAAACAGCTTTATTGGTGTATGACGTCTTTGAAAAAGTTATTGCATTCCTAATCTTGTTTTTTTTGGTTCGATATTTATGAGTTCAATAATGCACTGTGATCTGTAAAAGCTTTTAATAAATTACGAATTCATGTCGTCCATAGATATTAAATCATGAATTTCGGTCGATACAATTGCAGTATTCATGAACTGCCTACGGGAAAAAGAAGTCTTTTTTGTATAAGACCAGACACACCGTATTTCTGCATATCATTTGAAGTGCACGTATAAGCCGAGGTATCACATTGAGGTAAAACCCCTAACACAACTGTATCATCTAACTTATTATCATAGACTTTGATCGATTGGCATCATTTCCATCTCATGGACCAAATTATGGACATATCTTTATCCGCCATTTAATTGAATTTCATTCACCTGACAGTCTGACACCGATATTATGCAGCCTATCTTCATTGGATATTCATCAGTAGAGGTTGGTTATTGCCGCTCTCTATTGCACCGTCTGCCCGCGTCTCTCTGCCCTTCAATCGAGCTCGCGATGCCGCTTGTATACCCCAGACGCGAGATCAACTGTCTTGCACTCCTTGCAAACCAGGGAGCTCTTCAAACTTCTACTACTAACCTTTTCCCCTTTCGCGCCTATTACGCGTGATTAACATTCTAAACGCCTCCTGCCATCCTTCTTTCTTTCATCCCTCTAAACATCAACTTAATATTCACGTGAACGCATCGTCGAAGAACGCGCCGCTCAAATAATGGCCCAAAATACCAATGCGAAAAATCATGCAATTTGCCACGTTTTTAAAATTTGATAACATGGTTCGTCCTTCAGAGAATATCACATTCTTGTGACATTCCATTTATCGAATCTGTTAATCAGCAGACGCGTATATATTTCACCAGCACTTACGACAAACACAGCCTTCTAGTCCACACTTAACACAGTCGAAAGTTCAAAGCGCATATTATTTCACATAGGCCTATCTGGAATCCACTATAGAGATTATAATTCAACGTTGCTGATTGATATTATTCACACCAATGCGCTTAGAACTTTTTTAATGCAACAATGAATATGATGCTTTTCCTTTACTTAATCAAAGCTATTATTCACACATGTAAAACAGACAGAAATTCTTAAAAAATATTCGACTATACGATAGTAGTACTTACCATTTTTGGTTGCCTTTTTTGTCTTTCCTTAGTACGCTACTCAAGGTGCCACAACTTCCAAGAACACAATCAGAATGCACCCCTTTTGTCGAGAGTTTAATTGAACACTGAATTCCAATTTTCTGTTTTGTTCTGTTGCAATGGACAGATGAAATCTCACTTTTTGCAAAACCGACCGCTCACCTCTCTTCGTTGAGTGGTGACGCTTACACGAGTATGTGTTATATGCACGGAGTTAGAGAACGGTCGTTGTGAGACAAAATATTCTCCGTGAGCAAAAGTCAGAAAAAACAGATGACACTCTGACAGCTTGCGAACGATGGGGGCTCACTCTTGGAGACCGTTAAGTTTGCGAAAAATTGGTCTTTAGTTTGCACGTCGGGTCGGAGAGAGTGGAGCAGTGCGGGGGGAACGCGGCGCTTCCTTTCTCGCTCGCTTTGTAGTCTGCCGTGAAAGCTGGAAACCCAGCAATCATGGCGCCAACTCTGGGGAAAATGTAATCATGTAGGTAAGACTCGTTTTCTGAGACGGCTGTTATTATTACACCAGGGATGGGCTATAAATAGGAATAGAGCAAACCTATTTTAGTGGATAGTCAACACAGTAGAGAGTCGTTACACTGGAGAATGACTTCATCGAGGGGTCTGTATAGTTTTAAAGATATAATGCCATTTCATTATTACTTCATTGTGCATAGTCATCTTTCATATCACACCTTAGCCCTTCTCTTATATCCCCTCATTCCTGTCTGTCGCTCCTTCTCTCCCTCCCGCTCTCTCTCTCTCTCTCTAGTTTGGTTCCCTCTCCTATCCTCCACTTCTACAAGATCACTAACTATGTGTACCTATTTCTCTCTCTCTATCTCTCTTCCAATTTGATCTTTCCTCTTCATTTTTTCTGCCGGGATTTTTCTCTCTCCACCTCTTACTCTCTCTCACTCTATTTTTCTCTCTCTACCTCTAACTCTTACCCCCATTGTCGGCCTTCCTCTACTTTTCTCTCCATCTCCCCTCTCTCTCTCCCCCTCTCTTCCTCTTTCTCATTCTATCTCTCTATCTCTCTCTCTCACTTTCTATCAATATATTTCCTCTCGTCTCTCGTTACACCCAGCTCCAATCATCCACACATCCCCTTCCTATCCAGTCATCTACCTATTCAAGCATCATCTTCCTTTTTCAGTTTGTGATATGAATAAATTGCTCATTGATTGCCTTTTCTTCCCTTGAATAACTCATCTCTTACCAGCCCTAATAGGTTTGATTGTGGATGTAATTTCATCCAAGCACTAAGATCTTGTCTTCTATAAATCAATCTTAAACAGTTCTAAGCACTCGTGAAGCGAAACCAATGCGTATTATTAATTCACATTCTAGTAGTATCGATGGATGTCTCTGGGGAACATGAATATACAAGACGCCATAGATCAGGGGGCGTTTCACAAAACTTGTCACCAGTGACAAATGGCCGTTTTTGTTATAAGCTACTGAAATCCTTGCTTCTGATTGGTTATCAGCAGATTTGTCACCGATTTTAGTCATTTGTCATTGAAAAAAAGGCTTCGTGAAACGTGTCCCTGGTCTACCTAGAACCATCTGATGTATCATGGCCATGCTATCCTCGATTGAAGAGACTACATACCAAGACTCATGTTGATTACTACTACCGTGACGCTCTGACTCTCACTACATCAGTCGATTGCTGGCTAATAATATAGTAGACCAAGTCACGTGATCCCTTATTCTAACATTGCCGACTATCTTAATCCCTACATAACATATTGTGTTCCGTAATGTTTTCCCGAAATGGCTGTTTCCCTTATTATTAAATGTCACACAGCTGTCCAGATAGTATTTATCATTTTTTTACCCTGTGAGGGTGATTGTCCAGCAAAAACTATCAGGCCGTTTTCTGTCTAGTTATTGTCCAGTATGGGTCATGTACAGGAATAGTTGTCCAGATGGTACTGAATGAGTGATTGTCCTGTGTTGGTTAATCTGCAGGATAAGTTGTCCAGGTAAATTAGTAATAGCTCTATACATAGGAGATTGCCCGGGAGTAGTAGTCATTGTGGTATCTGTGTAGATGATGTTTGTCCTGTTCATGTGATTTTACGGGAGAAAGTGTTCGGGTGGTTCTAGTCCTACATATACATAAAATCCGGTGGTATCTGTCCTAGACGAGTTATTGTCTCGTAAGGCGATTATCTGGTGTAGTTGGCTAGGTGGTATATGTTCTCGATAAAGATTGTCCTGTATATGTGATCGTCCAGGAGAAAATGTCTGGGTGATACTAGTCCTACATAAAATATTATGCTGTATGGTGAATATCCGGTGTAGTTGTCTGGATGGCAGTTATCTTAGACGGGTAATCGTCGGATGGAATAGTCAGGGGCTCGTTGATATGCTCAGTAACAGGGTCACTGCAATACACCTCAAAGTGTGAAGTACATTCTCTTGTTTGTCGGCAAAACATATAATTTAATTATTGCTTGAAAGTCCGAATATGCACATATTTTTTTCGATTGTTTTAATTACAATTACCTGCATTGGCATATTCTATGCAAGTATGCATAGGAATAGTTTGGTATATTGATGCTATTGTTAGATACATACAGTGAACAATCCTCTGCTCCGTGTTTCAGAATAATGATTTTTTTTTTCCATCTCCATTATTGATATAAAAAACCATGATGAACGTTTGTATTCATAATATTTCGTCATGTTTTTTTGTGTTTTTTAATTTATGCACAAATCTGAAAACTATATTTTTTTGCTTTGAAATCGTTTGATTGAGGGCAAGTTGAAAGGATGTATTCTCCGTTGCATTCATCATTCATGGTGCATTGGACAACTCGAATGAATCAAGAACTAGAGCAGGTTTTAAACGTTATTGGCTTCGAGTTATTAAAGGAAACAATGATGTGTTCCAATATATACTACATGTACAAAGTAATCAAACCGTTATTAACTGATTAGAAATTTCTCTGACCTTCATCTCCTTTGTTATGAGTCTTGATAAAAAAAACTCCTCTTTAATGACGTGTAATTATTAAAGTGCTTCTATTCCTTTCAGTTGGACAGGGGCATTGATTAGGTTTTCAGTGTTCTGAGGAAGGCTTAGTCAAGAAGAAGAAGGAGGAAATTGGTTCACGCAAAATCTATATACATTTTCATTTATTTTAGAAATAACATACGCCACGACTGCACGTTTTCATGAAATTTTATGGCAACAAATTATATAAACAAATCAAAAGAAACAAATTGAAAGGTTTAAAATATTGGCTTTGTTGGTTAAGTTCCATTTTAAAATGTAGTTGGCAAAAGACCACGATATGTTCTTGTGTCATTTTCGTCGCTTCCGTCTTGAGACATCTTACACTTTCAAATAGAAATGGCGTTGAAAAACCTGTCATTATTAGTTTATATATATATTTAAAATAATAATATCAACAACAACCACACAAAAATTATAATAACAATTATAATAACAATTATGATAATAATTATAATTATCATCATCATCATCATCATAATAATAATAAAAATCTGTAAAGCGCTTTGAGAGGGCCTTTAGTCCTGAAAAGCGCTATATAAGAACTAGCTAATATTATTATTATTATAATAATTATATATATATATATATATATATATATATATATATATATATATAAGAAATGACATTTTTAAGCTGATCAAGAGTGATGACAATAATTTAGAAAAACCTACTTTTCTTTGCGTTTCTGTAAGACAGCACCACTTTTCGCATGCTAACCACGCGAGAATTGAATTACAAAATTTGGTGGTTGTAACACAAAAATTCTTTATGTAGACACTCGGTTGCATTAGTGATGTGCATGGAAGAAAGTGTGGTCTGTAACTTGACATGGAGAGACACTGTCTGTTCGCCTGGGGTTATCCCAAGGATATACGATTCATTTTACAACCAGATCATATTGCATGTTATTGGCAAGGCGTTAGTCCCAACCGATTTCTGTGTCTCTAGAAAAGCAATCCTACACGATGAGCTGATGTCCACTCATTTGATTAGCATGTTGAAATGAAATTCATCGTAGAAATTTCAGATCATATAATAGTTTGTAAAATTATATTATATTAATCATGATCGACTGAATAGATGATGTGGAATGTCCACATTTTAGCATCCCCCTTTTGCAAAACAATGATAGATGACTTTCCACTAGGCCCTACATTTCGACACAGCGTAAGAACACAGCATTATGTCTGAAAATAAAGTTCCATTGCAATCTGAATGTAAGCTAGCTCAGCTTTGTAGAGCTAAGCTTGTATTTTAGTAGAACCAAGGTGACCATAATAACTCGGTTCAACTGCCTACACTCCGAATATCTCTTATGTGTTGTAACAATCCTTACCTAGCATAATTTTAACAACTAAAATCTGCCTTTTAAGAGAATGCTTTTTATGAGCTTTTAAGGTTACCTATTAACAGCTTATTACTTAGTGTATGTTTAAAAGTTCTTTGATGAGTGCTTGTTCTTCAGCTCGCACGATAAAAAGAACGAAGAAACGAGTCAAAATTCTTGTGGATCAAAAAGGTTGTCAAATATGGACATAATCCCACTAACCCAGCTCTTTTTTTTTAGAGAGTACGCTTGAAATTTTAATGTTTATTATACAAACAGAAGGATCTAAGAACTATACAGATGGATATAATTGTTATTTTAAATTTTAATCATGTACATAAAATAATTATTTGTTTTAATTCGATGTGGTTTATCAAAAATACAAAATAGTAGTACAAGGTCAAATTGCACAATGTTTGAAATGTAAAAATGGTCCTAAAAATATGATCATCGATTAAAACAAAAAAGAAAATTAAAAAGAAGTTAAAGGATATAATCTATACAAATCATAATCCTACACTTTCAAATAAGTATAAAGCTTTGGAAAAAACGTTCATCATTATACAAACCGAAGCAAAAGATCACTCGAATAATAGGCTGAAAATTAGGTGACGTGTCATTTAATGCAGTATAAAAGACTTTATTTCAGATTAATCATTTCGAAATACATAATATGTGAATCAAAACGCAATGTTGGGTTTATAACAAAGAAGACAGAAACTGCATCTTCTCTTATCCAAACACAATGAAACTTGTGACATTTAAGAGTACATGACCAATTCGTAGTAAAACAAATTATATACTTACGATCTTTTTATATTTAGATTTGTGCTTCAAATGATATTGATATGTACATTTAATTAATACCAATGTGAGATCGTAAAACAAAGACTTTATGTTCTTTTTGGGGGTATAACAATAGTTAAGTTATAATTATAATTAAAGTTAAATTAAATTCAAACCCAAAGTGTTTACTAATTTTGGATAACTCTTTCTCCCAATTTTTGCTTACTATGTCCCCTTATTTCGTCGGAACAAAGCACATCTTTCCACGTTTATAAAAATGTCTTTCACAATTGGTTCTTACTGCTTTAAACTAACTTCCCTCTCCTTTTGGTTATCATTTAGGCTATTTAAAAGGAGCAGGGAGAATGGAAAGAAGATATGGAGAAAAAGAAGGCAGGCTTGGAGAAAATGAACAGAGAGAGAGAGAGAGAGAGAGAGAAGCGGGGAGAGGGGGGGGGGGGGGGGTTGAAGCGAGAGGGGAAAAATTCCAATAAGGAACCCGATGCAATCTGAAAATTCGGGACAAAAAATCCTACCAATAAATAGATTGAGAGGGAGAGAGTAAAGAAGATAGGGGAGAGGGAATGGATTTATATAAATACATGGATAAATGGATGAATAAATAGAAAGGGAGACTCTGGACAGGGAAGTAAAATGCATCTTTTTGTTTGTTTATGACAAACAGTTGAACATACGTAATTATTCATGCGTACACTTGCTAAAGTAGGA